TATTGAACAGGTAAGACTCTCTCATATTATTTAAACTATTTTCCTCTTTCACTTTTTTACCGATTATTTTCGCCAAGATAACATAAATAACTTCCCTCAAGTTCAATATGCTTCTGAGGTCACTACATTTTCTTTCTTGACAAGTCATGGAGGTTGAACTCATGCTAGGTTAACTAGTTTGACATTAAATATAACCATTGAGTAAACCCAAACTGGTTTTGCTACAAAAAAGAAAAAAATATACAAATTTCTCAAGATACATGATTTTTTTCCAAAGTATAAGATTTTTCACTTGCTATCTAAATTCAAGTTTAAAATAATCTTAAAATAATATTTATCAGAAAATTTAGAAAAAACTTGATGGTGTTTTTGAGCTACACCTTCTAACAGAGAGAAAATTGAGATTTCATTATTTAAAGAGTACAATTTTTTTTATAAAGGATCTGATAATAATCATGTATTTATCATCTTTCCTCCACACTGATGATTGTTAACTTTTATCTATAAATTCTAAAATTTTGCCACATGCAATTACTTTTTTATAAGTGTATATTTTACATAAGCTAAACCGTATGTATTTTTAAATTACTGGTCACTGAGAAACATGGAGTTTCTCTTCCTGGAAATCTTTATTCTTTACTGACTCTAAATTTGCTTCATTATCACACAAATTTTTTCTTCTCACAACTTTTTCTCTTCTTACACTTTTAAAACTAGTTTATTTCCCTGCCAATCAATCATCTATTCAATTTCTGGATACAGGCAGCCCTTTCTTCCCAACTTTGCTGCTTTGTGCTTGATTTATACCCCTTTTTCATTCACACTTCCTGGGGAATCTCAATATTTGTCTGTGAAGAAAGCGGAATTTCAATAATACATAATAGAGTGTCTCTCTCATTCTGACAAGATATAGTAGTATCTACTCTTGTGTGTACAGCTATAGCATCTCAGTCCACAGGACAGAGCAAGTACTTCACAAGCATGTCCAATGTCCGCTGATGAGACCCGAAGAACACACACTCAGCACAGCATACAAGAGCATTCACGGAGTTTAGGTATTTTCCCACGACTTATAAACTTGGACAAAACACGTAGCTGTGGAATTTGGGGTCACCAGTGTTAGGTCAGCGAGACACACAGACTAAAGGTCTCTGAGCCAAATGTTATTAAGCAAGGGAGTTTACTCCAGCAAACCTGGAGGAGAAACTGAAAGATCAGTGTTCCGCTCCTGTACAGACTAGTTTGAATTTGGGAAGGAGGGAGTTATAGGGAAAAGCCTAAGTTCTGAGAAGGGGGTGGGCAGCTGTTCTGAGCACTAACGGCTTTCTGGGGTTTTTTGTTTTTTACAAGATCTTGTTTTGTACCCTATGTTCTTATCATAATGCACCAGCCTTGAGGAAAAGGGAGGAATAGAAGGACAGGGTGAGGGAATGGTCAACGTGGCTGTGTTTATGTTAAGCTGAGTGTAAGGCCTAATAATCAGCCCAGAATCCTTGCAAAGACCAAATGATGCAAACCTGAAGGACACGGAGTTATCCCCGTGGAGTGAATATTGAGCAAGGAAAATCAAGAGACAGGAGAGACCCATGCAGATAAATCCTCTTTCATTTTAACCTTTCCACAGATGGTTTCAATGTGCAATATTTTTCTACCTGCCTTTCTAAACATTCCTCTTGAGTCACAGTCAAGAAGCTGTGTTGATGTCAAGCTGAAGCTGGAGCTCTAACACCTTCCTTTGTACTGGATCTCCTTCCACCTCTGCTTCCCTTCCATTTTTCCTCACACACATTTCCCTGGAATTTCTGAATAAATTGTGTTAGAACA